GGACTGCCAAAATTTAAAATTTTTAAACGGTTTGGTAGAAAAATTAACTTAAATTCTCTGGAAAAAGCTTTTTGGTTTAAAACCCCGTCAGGAATGATCCCCCCAAAAGAGTTTTTTCCCTAACAAAGGGGGAAAAGGTGAAAACATTTGGAAAAAGTTTTGGTATGAATTTTGGGAAAATTTTTTTTGGAAAAAGAAAAAAGCCACTAAAAAGGGGAAACAATTTGTTTACAATTTTAAGAAAAACTTTTTTGGGAGGAAATTTGGGGCATTTTCTATAAACAGGACCCAAACACAAAGTTACTATTTTTTCATAAATTTTCGTAAAAAGGGAACAATCCCCCATTTGGGGGAAAAAAATGAAAAGGATGAAAAAAAAAAAGAAAAAGGGTAAAAAAATGTAAAAAAAAAGGCTAAAAACCATTCGTAAAAAAATGCAACACAGGGGGGGAAAATTGGGAAAGTAAGAGAAGGGTAAAAAAAAAGGGGAAAAGGGGGGGGAAATGGGGCGGGGTCAGTATCGGATTCCCATTTTGCCCTAAGTGGATTTGGGCAAAAAAATTGAAAAAGTAGTTGAAGGGTTTTTTGGGGGGGGGAAAGGGGAGGGGGATAAGCCCCGTTAAGCCTTGGGGGATTCAGGGTGGCAGCTTAAGGTGATTTTTCTTTTTGGGGGGAAGGGGGTCTATTGGGGGGGGGGGGATTATGGGTAAAGGGGATGTTTTTCCTTTTATGGGGAAAATTTAGGGGGGGGTTTTCCCCAACCCGATTTTATAAGTGCTCGTATACAACTTTTCCTTTCCCCCAAAAAATTAGTTAAATTTTAATTGTTTAAAAAATTATTCACATACATAAACCAACAAAAACTAAAAAAATTTTTATTAAAAAAAAACTAAACATATTAAAGTATTCACCCCTTTTCTTTTCCAATTTTTTACGTTCACCTTTCTAAAAATCTAAGTTTTTTACTCCCTTTACCAAAAAATATGACAAAGGGAAAAAAACCCCTTTTTTTGGAAAAGTTGCAAAAGCTTAAAAAAACAAAACCCCCTTTTTTTAAAAGGGTTAGGGTTGTTGAAACTCGAAAATTTGGTCGGGCTCCCGTTTAGTACCAAAAAAATTCCTAAAATCAAAAACCCCGTGGTTTATTAGGGGAAAAAATTTTGGAAACACCAGTTTTAAGGGGCCCCCAAAAGGGAGCGAAAGAAAAGCCAGACGAAGGAAACGAGAGGCCCCGACAAAGTGCCCTTTGGAGATGGGAAAGGGACCAAAAAGCAAATTTTAATCCCCCAAACCCTGGTCCCATCTTAAAAAAAGAAGTTTAACCCCCCGATTTCAAGGGGAGCCCGGCCAAAAGAGAAAAAAGGGGTGGGGGGGACCAAGAAAAAATGTAAAGAAACCAAAGTTCGGGAGGGGAAACCTGAATCAACCCTTTGACAGTCCCCAAAAATTTTGGGGGTTTAAAAGGGGGACTGTTTTTTGGGGAAGGTTATGAAAGGGTGGGGGGTTTTAAAAGGGGCCCAAAATTCAGACCTGAGCAAGTTTTGGTTTGAAACCCAAAAGAAATTTTTGGGCCCGGCCAAGTCAGGTCTGGGGGAAACCGGCCCCCCTGAACAATTGGGGCACTCATGGGGGGATGTTTTTGGCGGACGGGGGGAACCAACGAAGAGTGAAGGCGAAAAAGGGAGAATTCTAAAAAATGTCCAGAAGTTTTTCCCCAGCTGGGGGGGGTTACCTTCCAAAAGGGTCACCCCAAGACAACCCAAAACAAAAGGATGGTTGGGAAAGTTAAAAACCCTTGGGCCAGGGGAGGGACTGAAAAAAAAAAAAACAAAATTTGGGACTACCAAAGGGGGGGGAATTGGGGGGGATTTGGCGTGGGGTCCCTAAAAAAAATGGCCCAATTTTTTTGGTTTTTTTAAACGATCAGGTTTTCTCTAAAGGGCTTCCCGCCAGTAAAGGGTCTAAAACTTGTAAATGTGAAATTCAAAGTTAAAAAATTTTTTTTTGGGAATGGGGAGGTGTTGGCTAGAGGGGGAAAAAAAATTTTAAATTTTTGAATAAGGGTTTAACTCAAGGGGTTTTTTAAAAATTTTGAAAGAAAACCCCCCTTTTAGGTTTTACGAAAAACCACAAGAAATACATAAACTTTTAAATTTTAAAATCTGGACTTTTTTAAGGGCGCTGGGGGGTAGGGGGGTTTTTCTCTGAGAATTTATGAAACCCCCCCGCCCAGGGGGGGTCCTGGCCCTGGGGCGGGGTCCCTCTAAGCTCGACCTCATAGGGGGGGGAATGAGAAAAGGGTTACCCCAAAAAAAGGGGGGAAAGGTAGGACAACCCAAAATGACCAAAAACCTAAAAAATAAAAATTTTTTGGGGGCAAAAATTTCAAAAATCCCTGGGCTTATTTTTGCCAGGGGCCCTTTTAGCATTAAAAAATTAAAAAGAAGGTTAAATTTTGCAACCTGGTGGGGGAGGCCCAGGGGCCCGTCAGCCCGGGACGGGGGGTCTTCCTTAAACTGATCCCCTCAAATTTATGGGAAATTCCCAACAAAAGAGGGGTAAAAAAAACCCAAGTGAACAGTGCCGAAAAAGTCAAAAAAGGGGTTTGGGACATTTCACACCAGGGTGTTGGGTTTTGTACCACAAGGCGTCATGATTATACCCATAAAGTAGAAAATTCTTTGGGCCTTGGGGACGGAATCCTTTATAAACCCGGGGGTTTTAGACCAAAATCAAAGAAAAAATTAAAACTGGGTTAGGGTCTTGGGCCCCTTTAAATGTCAAGCCAAAAAATTTAAAATACATAAAAAATTTTTAAAAAGGATTTTTTTAAAATCATAATGGGGAGTCCTTTTTTAAAAAAAAGTTAACACGGTTTGGGGAAAAATTTAAAAAAAAGGCGTGGGGGTTTTTTTTCAAAAAGCCTAAAAAACAAAAAAAGGTTTTTATGATTTTAAAAAAATAGGGTTATATCATATTAATAAAGGGAAAAAACCTAATTTAAATTTAAGGGGGGGGTTCACTCTCCCCCCACCCTTTCCCCATGCAAAAAAACATAAAACAAAACTGTTTTAAGATGTCTTTGGTACATAATTGGTCTAGCCTATCCTCCAAAATTAAACAAATTTGAGCAATCGCCTTTGAGTATGGACTGTATTATTATGCATACTGGATGGACTGGTTACCTTATGCTACGCTCCAAAATGTCTATCCACGAGTCTGGGAGAGAAAATATAGCCCTAGGCGATGCTGTTGGTTGTGCAGGGCGGCTTACAGATAAGCCTACAATTATAGTGAATTTGTATTTGATTTTGAATAGCCTAGTAATATGGAATGTTTTATATTTGCATAATTAATTAGGTGACACATTACCTTTAGCTATACAGAATATCTCACCACCGTGCGTTTCCATCTCCTCCTCTCTCTCCTTTATTCCTTTCTCGAGCATGCAGAGGGGCTGTCAACAGTTTAGTGGAATATGTTTTGTTGCGAAAACATGTTACCATCGATGTTCCCGAACAGATTTCACTTGGTTTCCCAAAATAAGCACCGGGCAGCTGCAGGAACAGGGTTGGAGAGCCCATGGCATACAGAGTTTTGGCGGAATATCACCTGTCGCGCAGGAAGAGCATGCTCCTCAAACAGTGGTTGATTCATGGAGTGAAATAAGTGTTCTTATATTTATTTCTCAGCTGCTCATATTAAGCACAGCTCCGCTATAAAACCGAAGTAGCCTACCAGGCATCACTGAAAAACGGATTGGCGGGAAAGCGCAAGACCTCCATTCGCATATTCGAGTGCATGCAGATGACATGTCTATTTCCCCTGCCCCTGTTCCTGCCCATTTGATAATGGGCCATTCTAAATCTAAACACATTTTACATATTAGTAAAGACAAGATTAAATTGAGAATAGTCTGATGGGTGAAAATATGGTCACTTGATGAGAGAACAGCTTGAGCTTTTTTGTGTGACTTTCTCAAATCATAAATAGCCTATAGTAGCATCATGCAGCCCATATGTTTTGATTTGTAAGACATTCTAAGGTTTGTATCATTCACAACTAAAGTTGCCAAATAACTCTAAATGTATAATAATAATATAATATGCCATTTAGCAGACGCTTTTATCCAAAGCGACTAAGGATCTGTTTCAAATGATCACTTTTACGCTCAACATAACCACTTCATTTGCGCACTCGCTCTGGAATGGGAAAAATATCCTTTCTATTTTATTCAGCTAAGTTCAATTATATAAAATCATTTAATACAAAATAATGGCACAGGACTTAAGCATATCTTGTCAGCTAAATGAACAAGCCTACAGCTTTTGGCATGGAGCATAGCCAGATAACATACAGTATTGCCAACTCACATTCGGTTCTTCTGAAATACATTTTCTTCATATCTTGTTTCTTTAGACCAGACTAAAATAAATAACGGATTTGTTGTGATGGTGTATATTACATTTAATATACATCATCACAATAAATCTATTATAGTCAGGTCTAAAGTAACATTATGATATGAAGAAAATGTATTTCAGAAGAACAGAATATGAGTTGGCCAGTACAGTACAGTATGTTATCTGGCTATGCTCCATGCCATAGGCTGTAGGCTTGTTCATTTAGCTGACAAGATACAAGCTGCTGATGCGCGAGCCTTTGGAACATCTACATTTAAAAAAGTATAATCTTAGACTTGTAGATGTTCCAAAGGCGCGCGCATCATCAGCTTAGCAGCTTGTATTCGTGGAGGCCTGGAGATGCTAAACATGTTTATGTTAATTAACGGTCAATTACCGTGAGACCGGCAGACTTTTGCGTTACAAAAACCGGCTAACAAAATGTCATGACCTCCACAGTCCTAGCTACACCCTAAAATAAGAGTTTTTGCTTGTACACAAATGTTTTCCATTCGTTTGTCCCATTACAGGTGCATGTTTCTATTTTTATCAATCAAGTTATTCTAAATGGAGCCTTAAGGAGTTCCTAAGGAGTTTCTAAGGAGCTGTACCTTCCGAGGAGAGGCAGAGGTTTTTGGCCAGCTTGTGGGGGAGGGGGCTGTAGTAGGAGTCTTGAAGGAACCGCTTGGAGCCTCTGCCTGGACCTGTCGTGAGGCCCTCCCTAAAACTTCTCCTTTCTGGAGGGTGTAGTAACAGAAAAGAAAAACTGAGAGGTGAAAAGTAAATACCTACAGACTTGACTCAAATCGACACTGTTACAATGGTGAAAAGGCCAAAAACAAACAGACAACCCTTTTCTGTCCTGAACCAACAGAAAAGCCAAGGTTTTGCCCCAGTACAGTGTGTGTGTGTGTGCTGACCTGGGTAGGTGTGGCTGTCGTAATGCAGGCCCCCTCGGGGGACGGGCTGGCTGCCAAACAGAGGGTCACAGTAGAGGTTGTGACAGAGTTTCTCCAGGAAGCGCAGGACGTACGTGACGCTGTTGACCGTGGGCAGGGTGAGGGTATGGTGCTGCTGGTCAAAGTGGGCTGCATGGGTCACAGAGAGCAAGGGTTAGGCTCAGACAGCCAATACTGTTCCTCACACTTAGCAGCAATGCCAAGTGAAAAGGAGATATAGAGCTTTTGGTTTGACAAATTTCAGGAAAAAAGGATCTACCAGTCTGTTTTAACAACTGGTCCTGATGTAGTGCACAGGGAGGCTTGAAATAAATGAAGGAAAAATCTCTATAACCAAACTTCTAATAAAGCTTACAGAAACCATAGCCCATACAGAAAGCAGGTACCAGTCCCAGACCTTACCTGATATGACCTCTCCTCCGTGACCTGGCTTGAGGCAGGAGAAGACAGAGCTCTGGTTGTGGGCACAGTCCACACAGGCCTGGACACACTGCTGTAGCACCGAGGAAACCCGGCCTGGACCAAAGTGGTCGGGCAGCTGTTGCACCCGCCGGCCGTCCAAGTGGGGGCCCACCTTCCCATACTTGTTCAGGTATACACACACTGTGGGACACGTAAGTAAATGCCGGCAGTCACGCACACAAACACAGAGGCATCTAACACTCAGCATGTATACCACTCCGGCTGAAAAGGGCAGATTCGACTTAATGCTCCAAACATATTTTTTTAACAAATATTACATTTTCATCAATGACTGACTCACAAGGATGTCCGAGTGCATACAAGTATTCATAATAAAAGTTGCATTGCGCTGCACAGAAATCCATGAGTGTTAATTGCAGTGACGGAGCACTACTTTGTGTGTGTGTGTGTATGTGTACCTGTGGCAGCCTGCAAGGCAGCGCTGGGGATGGTGGCATTGTCCAGGGGCACCGTGCTGGTGTCTGGCTCTGGCATACTGCTGGTGGGGGAAACGGGCATGGGGTTGGGCACCACCCGCGGTTTTTTCTGTTCACACAGACACACAACGTTTAGTGGGGTGGAATGCGCTCATCCATAAAAAACACTTGTCCCAGGTGCTGGATTACTTACATTGTACCTAAAAATATATAATTGTGTATGTGTGTGGTTACCTTGCTGCCAGGCTTGGGCCCTCTCTTTTTTGGGATCTTGATGGACTCCACATGACCCTCCTGCAGGGCCATCCTCTGGGCCCAGTTGGCTGGCAGCCTCCCTCTGGGCCGGGACACAGGTCGCCCTGGGCCTGCCATGGCACCCTCCAGCCAGCCTGCTCTCTTCGCCCAGCCCAACTAAACACAGAGAAGGAGGGAGAGGACAATGTTAGGGTTATGTCAACCACATTAGTTGTCAATTGGAGGGCAAACATGACTTTTCTCAGTAGCAGTGGAATTAGAATAGAAGTGAATTGTTGACTTTTGTTCAACTTTTGACCAATAAGGTTGTTATTATAAAAGAGTGTTTGGGTGCTGCGACACAGGATGAAACATCCAACCCTACCCCACAAACCCTCCCCAACCATGACTCCCCAACCTGGGTCCTTGGTCTGTACCTTACTCCCCGGTTTGGGGCCTCTCTTCTTGGGGACCTTGATAGGCTCCAGTCCCTTTCCGGGCGGGGGGGCCTGCGGTCCTACTCCGGCCCCCTTCTGGCCCCAGGGCCCTGTCAGCTTGGTTTTCCTGCGGCCTGGCTTGCGTCCCCGTTGGCCAGGCGGCTGTCCTGGCATGGTGTGCATGGCTGTTCCCTCGCTACCGTCTGAAAGGCAACCGAGGGTCTTGGGTAGCACTGCTGTCCCCAGAGAGAGAACGAGAGATAGGGGGAGTGTCAAAAAAAAAGTTCAAAATTGATGTTATGGAATCAAAAACCCTATTTAACCTCTAGTCTAGAGATCAATATATTCATTCAAGTTATGTAATTCATTATTTCCTTCATTCATTCAAATGCAGCCTGGCAGGAAACAAATGAATGTCAGACTAGGAAGTAGCATCAAATTGAACCCATGACTGTTTGGTAATCCACAATAACAAACCAGGAAAGAGCAGCGACTTAATCAAAATCATGACAGACTCAATGACATAAACAGTCACTGATCAAGTGATAGGCAATAATGCCTCTAACAACACAGCAGGAGTGGTAGACCCGGCCACACACAAGTGTACATAGACCCAGACAGCTTTTGTGTTGAGGGCCACGGTGACCCAGTTTGCTTTCAGCTGCAGAACAAAGAGGCAAGTTGTGTTACACTCTCTTACTGCCCTGCCTTCATAGGGAAGGATGAGAGACAGAGAGAGAAAGAGAGTTGCCAGGACCACAAATACAAATTCCATCTAGACACCGTTGCCCTAGAGCACACAACAAACTATACCTACCTTGGCTTAAACATCAGCACCACAGGTAACTTCCACTAAGCTGTGAACGATCTGAGAGACAAGGCAAGAAGGGCCTTCTACGCCATCAAAAATAAACATCAAATTCAACATCCCAATTACAATCTGGCTAAAAATCTTGAATCAGTTATACAGTGCCTTCAGAAAGTATTCACACCTAGGGCTGTTGCGGTGACTGTATTACTGCCACACCGGCGGTCACGAGTCATGAAGTTTAGTCACGGTAATTAGGCTTCTCCAAGCTCTGATGCTGCTGATGGCCATTAGTAGCCTACCAAACTTGCTAACTACCTGGTACTCAGCACTCTATTGTCCCTCTTAACACTCTGACATCAATGCAAATGTTTTTGAAAATCTAATCAAAACACTTCATGAGAGCCCATGAGCTCATGTTGCGCAACATATCTATAGGCTACGCAATTGCGGGAGAAAACAGAGTGATGGCAGCTAATAAAAAGAGGAGGATCCCATCAGCTTTCTATAGGCTAGGCCTACTATATTTATTTCTTAACTTTTCTAATATTAAGCACATTGCTTCGCTTTACAACAGGAGTATAGCCTACCTGGCTGGCATGAAAATAAACCACGGCGAAAAGCGTCCTCCATTCGCTATTTAAGTGCATAGATGGACATGTATTTTTTCCCACTGCCCGTTTCGATACGTGCATGATAATGGTCCATTCTAAATCAAAACAAATGTCACACATATTATTTAGTATATGTAAAGACAAGATTAAAATCAAAAATAGTCTGATGGGTGACAATATTAGCCTATTAACTTGTGAATTATATATTATCACTTGTGAATGATGTACTCCTGAGTGGCGCAGTGGTCTAAGGCAGTAGAGATCCTGGTTCGAATCCAGGCTCTGTCGCAGCCGGCCGCGACCGGGAGACATGGGCGGCGCACAATTGGCCCAGCGTCGTCCAGGGTAGGGGAGGGAATGGCCGGCAGGGATGTAGCTCAGTTGATAGAGCATGGCGTTTGCAACGCCAGGGTTGTGGGTTCGATTCCCACAGGGGGCCAGTATAAAAAAAAAAAATGTATTCACTAACTGTAAGACGCTCTGGATAAGAGCATCTGCTAAATGACTAAAATGTAAAATGTAATGCCCAGCATAAGAAACAATGCCTTTTTTTGGCTACTTTTTCGAATCATAGTCGCACACCTCATGTAGCCTAGCTCATAGGCCTATATGTTTCAATAAGGTTTGTATCACAACTAAAGTGACCAAATAACTTCTTAAAATAAAGCACATTAATCCGCTTTACAAGGGTGTAGAGCCTAACTGGTATATATAAGCAGCGTGTGAGTTTCAAGTTTGGGAAAGATAATTTTCCCCATACAATTGCACCTTTATAATAAAAGCATTACATGCATAATCGCATTTGCGGTCACTTTTGATAAAGGTGTTTTCCGCTAATGGAACATTTGCGCTTATATCCTACTAACATGTGCGCATTGCTGCGCTTATAAATGTGAAGAAATAGCCTAATAGTTCATCAAAATTTTAAGCAAAACGTTCTGATCTGTTGTGTCAGCCACAATGCATCAAAAATCTATTGCATCGCACAACTGTCCCAGACTGTTTGGAATATTTATTTCTCGCACAGAATAGAATAGGTTGACTTTTGTACTATGGGGGATAGTAGATTGACATAGGCTAGTGCTTTTGCTGTTCGCTAGGCCTACTCATCTTGCTGGCTGACAAAAAGTAAATGTGGACAGTTCATCCAATATCTTCAAAACGCACCTCGGAATTGGATAAGGACACGCGCAGTTGCGTCCCCGTTGTGTCTGTCTTCACTTGTAGCCTGTGAGAAAGACCCGATCACGTGACGGAGAGCCATGTGAGTGGAGTGAGAGGCGCTTCAGATTGCGCAGCGCACTCAGGTAGGAGGGCACAACGCAGCAGTCCGCAGCAGTTGGGTACATTACGGCCACAAAGGGGATGCCGCCATGTAATTCAAGGCATTAAGAAGTGCTTGTCAAATTGTGAATGAGAGACTATTGGAGTGTGTAGAGCCTGCGCAAAAAACTAAGCAGAGCTCATGCCTTTCAAGCTTATTTTTTCAAATCATCATGAGTCTCATCATGCAGCCTTACAATGTATAAAAAATCTAAACATGTAGCCCAACGTTTGTAGAACAACTAAAGTTACATTAATAACTCTAAATTAAGCATATAGGAGTACCTATTTCTTTATTAACCACTCAACACAGAATAGCCGCATGTGCGCACTCCCTCAAATCGTTCGGATAAAATATTTATATTTTTTTCAGCTTTGTTCAATTGCATTCTTCATACTATAAAATAATGTCACGGAATTATAAGCAAATCTTGAACTAGTGTAGCCCACAGCCATTTGGCATAGCCACATCAGGACCTAACATAAGGACTCAGAGTATGCTATTATTTTCTTCTGAAATAGACTACATTTTCTTCATATCATGCTTCTTTAGACCTACCTAAAATAAATAATGTATTTATTGTGAAGGTGTAGGCTATATTACATGGATTTATTAGACTTTTTAAATGGTTTGTAGTCTATGTTTGGAAGCCAGGAGATGCTAAATGTGTTTATGTTAATTAACGGTAAATTACCGTGAGACCGACAGTTATTTGCTTGACAATCACCGGCTGACTAAATTTTGTGACCGCCACAGCCCTATTCACACCCTTTGACATTTTCCACATTTTGTTCTGTTACAGCCTGAATTTAAAATTGATTACATTTAGATTTTCTGTCACTGGCCTACACACAATACCCCATAATGTGAAAGTGGAATTGTTTTCAAAATATGTACTAATTAATAAAAAATGAAAAGCTGAAATATTTTGAGTCAATAAAGTATTCAACCCCTTTGTTATGGCAAGCCTAAATAAGTTCAGGAGAAAAAATGTGCTTAACAAGTCACATAATAAGTTGCATGTGTGCAATAATAGTGTTCCAAAAAAATAACAATGACTACACATACAATTATCTGTAAGGTCCCTCAGTCGAGCAGTGAATTTCAAACACAGATTCAACCACAAAGACCAGGGAGATTTTCCAATGCCTCGCAAAGGGCACCCATTAGCAGATGCAGACATTGAATATCCCTTTGAGCATGGTGAAGATATTAATTACACTTTGCATGGTGTATCAATACCCCCAGTCACGATTTTCAAACCTTCCATAACAAAACCATCACCTATAGAGAGATTAACCTAGAGAAGCAAGCTGGTCCTGGGGCTCTGTTCACAAACAGACCCCACAGAGCCCCAGGACAGCAAAAGATAATTACTTGACACATTGGATAGAATTTACCAAAAACAGAGCAAACTGGAATGATATTTGGCCCAGAATACCTGACCACTGTGACTGACCCAAAATTAAGGAAAGCTTTGACTATGTACAGACTCCGTGAGAATAGCCTTGCTATTGAGAGGCCACCGTAGGCAGACCTGGCTCTCGAGAGAAGACAGGCTACAAAATGAGGTGGAAACCGAGCTGCACTTCCTAACCTCCTGCCAAATGTATGATCATATTAGAGACACATATTTCCCTCAGCTTACACAGACCCACGAAGATTTAGAAAACAAATCACATTTCTATAAATTCGAAAACAGATCAAAATTTTTATAAACTTCCATATCTATTAGGTGAAATACCACAGTGTGCCATCACAGCAGCAAGATGTGTGACCTGTTGCCACAAGAAAAGGGCAACCAGTGAAACACAAACACCATTGTAAATACAACCCATATTTAGGTTGATTTATTTTCCCTTTTGTACTTCAACTATTTGCACATTGTTACAACTCCGTACATAATATAACATTTGCAATGTCTCTACTCTTTTGAAACTTTGATGAGTTTGATGATGTTTACGGTTCTTTTCTGATTGGTTTATTTTACTTTTGTTTATTATCTATTTCCTTGCTTTGGCAATGTAAACATACAGTAGCCCTTTGAATGGAATCGAGAGAGAGTTCTTCACTGAGACAGATATCAATGGCAGAACTTGCAATGAGTGATACAAAGCAAACAGCTCACTTCATGCACACACATGATAAAGGGTGAGACAAACAAATACAGACCTTGCACAACAGAGAGGCTCTTAAGCTTTGTGAAGTGGTTCTGATACAGCCAATCAAGCCCAGACAGACAGACAAAGACAGTGAAAGTAGACAGTAGTTCCTCTGCACTAAGGTACCCGTGTGACTCGTCCTCTCTGCACACTTCCTTCCTCCCTTGAATTTCGATACACTTGCAAGGCCTCGCCAATGGGGACCGGACAAGACCAAATTCCTCATAAACCGCAGACAATTACTCTCGCTCGTTGTAATCTCTGTGCAAGACTCA